TAGGATCCGAACCCGCGGCCTTGGTCTTATCAGCACCGCACTCTACCGAGTGAGCCACGGGCCGGCCCCCCCCTCCTTTTTTAAAGCCGTCTTGGGCTTTGTGTACACTCATTTACGTGTGCCTACGTGCACATACACGCGTGCAGAGGCGTACTCACTCGTCTTACGTCTTTCTGAGCAACAGCCTTTCTTTCTTTTTTCCCCTCTGTCCTAGAAGGTAAGCTTCAAGGAGCCTAAGCCTCAAGCTTACCTTGCCATGCTGCTAGTGTCTGGCAGGGATCCCAGTAGGTTAATGTGGAGCAGCCCCATTCTGGGAAATGTTACAGGAGCTGCATGAATCCTTGGCCCCTTGTCAGCTTGGGGAGAGATTCTGTGGCAGCTCATCCACATCCCTGTTCCTTCCCATGAAGAAACAAGAAAGCACTGTCCTTCACATGGTGCTTTGTCATTCCTCTGCAAGGATGAGGGTGAGGTTGGGGGTAAACTCTTGCTTTCCTGAGCCCTCTACAAGCTTTAACTGTTTTCAGTTTTTCCATCTCCCTTGTGTCAAATCTTTCTCATCCAGGTTATAAGTCTTTCTTACACCGTGCAAAACTAAACAGATGTCAGAATTTGGGGGGGGTTTGTTGTTGTTGTTGTTTTGGTTCCCAAGTGTTATTCAAGAACTCATACAAAATATTCCAGGTAAAAGTTTTAATCCTCATCTTCTTCCTCTTCATCCTGGTTAATTTGGAAGTAATGCAATTGGTGACTCTCTTTGCTGTTAGCAAATGTGCTCAATCAATCACTTAGATTATTCTTCTTCAAATATTTTTTGGTGAGATATTTCAAATACCTTTTGGAAAAAGGCACCTCAGAAGTTACATTATCTTGCTCTTGCTCGTTTTGATGGTTACAACCCCTCCACTGAGATTCCCAGCTTTTCTGTTCACTTTGATTCTCTCTTGGAGAAACAGCTCAAAATTGGCAGCATCCATGATTCCATCTTCTATAGGGTGGGCGCAGTCAAGGGTGAACTTCACAACCTCCTTCTTTTTTTTGCCCCCTTCACCATGAGCTTTTTCACAGGCACCATGACAGCAGCCTATTAGCTATCATCTGTTAAAGCCATTCTATGCCAAGACCTGTGTGAGACACAGTCTAGTGCCACCAGCCAGTCCACATTCCTGAGAGAATTTGAATGGCCCAATCCAATCTAGCCTTTGGACTGCTCCTCCTTGAGCTAGGAGGTCCCTCTAGACTGTGCTGTGATCTGGGGGTCTGGGCTTATATCAAATAAAGAGCTACAGGGCTTCACCCTCACAAGGATGTGGGGGCCTCCTAAAGTAGTTGGGTAGGCCCCTTAAAAGGTGATACTACATGTGCTTACTAAGTAACTTGGCATTGCTGGGACAAGATTATAGAACCAAATAAGATAAATCCTCTGCTGTTGGAATTGGGGAGGGAGTTATTTTCTTAATGGGGAAGACAGACAAGTAAATATTTAAAATCAGAATGATATGGTCTAAGTGTTGTAAATAAAGGGGTATCTTGGGATCCTACAAGAGGGACATTTAATCAACTTGAACATTGAGGGAATATTCTAGGAGGACAAGTCTGAACTGAATCATGAAAGGTAAGTACATGTTAGCTAGGTAAAGAAAAGAGTAGGAGAAAGCATTTCTGACATCGTGAACAGCGTGAGCATGAAACAAAGTAATTATATTTCATTGAAGAATCTTGTGTGTATAATAATGATAAGCAGTTATTTCCAGAGCATAAAGTCCATGGCAGAACCTAAAGCTAGAGAGATAGGTAGGGTCTGGATTGAGGAGAGTCTTAGTGCCATGCTAATAAGGAGCTTGGATTTAGGTGAAGTGGTGCCATTGAATGTTTTTTAATTGGAAACTGAAGTGGGAGGATTTCCATTTTTAGGAATAGAACTCTGCTTATACTATAGAGAATAATTTTGATGGTGGCCATGCCTGAAGGCACAAAGACCATTGCAATTGTCCAGGCAAGAGGTGATGTGAGTGAGGATGCAGAGGAAAGAGCCAGCTGTAAGAATACTTAGGGAAATTTGGCAGAACGAGCTGATTGATCTGATGATGGGAATGAGGGAGAAGGAGTAATTTAGGATAAAATCCAGACTTGGTGACAGGGCAGATAGTGGCGGCATTAGGAAAATGAGTAATTTGAGGAGGAAGATTATTTGTTTTGGTTTCGACACATTGAGTTTAAAATGCCTGTGGGACGCATCAGTTAGGCCAGGAGTCTGTTGCCCTTACGTAGTTGTCAGGGCTGACATTTCAAATTTGTCAGTGTCTGTCTGACACTCTTGTTCTAGCTATTCCTCCTTTCCTTTTTATATTTTAAACTTAAGACTCTAGTTTCTCCTTTCATAGATCTTCTATGCTAGCAGCAGGTTTATTTATACAAAGGTTTGACTTGGTTTGGCTTTACCATGAGAATTGCTGACAGGATTTTAATTCAAATTCCTAGGCTATAAGGTATATGAGGGATGAGATTATTTCTCTCTCTTATTATATTCATAGCACCTAGAACAGTACTGGCAAGTGAATGAGTGAATGAAGGAATGAAACATTGAATCGCATGAAGAGTTTAATAATAGACTCTGTCAGGAATGCCCATTCTCCAAGACTGATCTCTATAAAACATTTCTCTGAGTTGGCTCTTGGAGGGTGAAAAGGGAGGTTGGTGAAGAGGTAAAGGAGAGCATTTCAGGCAGCGGCAGCAGCAGGAGCAAAGGCAGAGAGGCATAGAACAGAGTGGCTGTGTGATAGAGATAAGCAGTGAGATACTAAGATCTCTTACCTTGTCATATGTTTCCAGTTATTCCAGAAAACTCAGTCACATTTATAGGTATGTTTAATAGTGGCTGTGATGTGTTCTGGGAATTGTGTTTTGTTTACAAGTTTCTATGTATAGGTAGGTAAGGATTAGATATAGAAAATATCCCCAAACTGACAGAAAACTTTGTTTGGTTTGGCTCTTTGTGTCCATAGCCTAACTCAGGGCCTCTTTGAAGTCTTCTGTGAATCCCAGGCAGGATTTACTACTTTCTAATCTGTGTTTGTATAGCATATTATACCATCTCCAACATTATTATATTCCCTTTTTAAAAAAAAAAATTTATTGAATCAAAATTGATTGTACATATTTTGGGGGGTTCAATGTTGAGATATGTTGATCAAATCAATATTACTAGCATATGTATTGTTACAAATCATACTTATTATTTATGCCCCTTATCCAGTCTCACCCCATCCCCCCACCCTCCTTCCTCTCCTCTCTAACTACCCTAGATTTCTTCTCTCCTTCTGAAAGAGTAATGGTTACTCTGTTGATTTGTTGCTTAGATGATCTGTCCAATGCTGAGAGGTGTGATCACATCCCCCAATATTATTGAAGAGCAGATGATTCTTCTGTCACTCTGGAATGGGCTTTGTGGAGAGAGACATCCTCTTCTTTTCTGTATCTCTGCTGGTGACTCTTCTTGTGTCAATGCACTCCAGTGGCTGGTGGACCATCTGCATGGTGGTTGTGTTGTCTAGCCAGTTTTGCAGCAGCCATGGTTATTGTGGTGGCTGTGGTGGGCCACCGACATGGAGGTGATGTTTTTGGCATGCTCCTTGGTGCTGTCGGTGTGTCTGGTTGTGGGGGGGGTCTGGTCCCCGGCTTCATGCCTTAGGTCTCCAGGTGGTCCCCTAGGCACTGGCACCATGTGCCTGGTGGGGGGAGGGGGCCGTTCTGCAGCTCCATCCCTTGGGTTCCTGGGTGGGCTCCAAGGCACTGGCGCAGTGTGCCTGGTTGTGGGAGTGGGATCCAGTCCCCGGCTCCATCCCTTGGGTCCCCAGGCAGGCCCCGAGATGCTGGCGTGCTGTGCCTAGTTGAGGGGAGGGGGGTCCGGTCCCAGGCTCCATGCTGTGGATCCCTGGGTGGGCCTGAGGCGCTGGCATGGTGTGCCTGGGCTGGAACTAATCTTTAGTCCTTTGCTTACTTCTAAAATGGGGGAACTTCCTGTGGGAACCAGTCCTTGAGTTGTCTGGTTGAGCTAAATTGCTGCCTTGCTGCTGTTTCCCTAGGGAAAACTTTTTGTGCAGCTCACGGTTTAATGGTTGACCTTATAGGTACTTCCAGCTCTCCAGAGACTAGGTGCACCTGGGTTGTGTAGAAACCTGATCTGGGCCTGAATCTTTTCATCAAACTGTACCCCATGCACTTCTGCATTCCTAACCAGTCTCTTCTGAGTGGTTCTGCGCTGATTGGGGGGCAGATCAGCTGTCCTTGCTGTGTCCCAGTGTTCTCCCAGTGAGCCCATCTCCCTGACCGCCCATGCTCCAAACACTTCCCTTGGGACTGGCCCTGCCTTGTCCCTTGTGATGACTCACCGGCCTCTGAATAGCTCCCTTTTTTCAGCTGTCTGGCTCCTCGCTCCTGCGTGGGTCCATGGGAACCCTATTAATGGTCTTGCTATCCTGGGGGCCACCAAGGCCCTCTTCTCCCCTGCCACCTCCAAGCAACTCCTTCCGAAGGGCACAGCTGCAGCTTCTGCTGGCTCCTGCTCCATGTGCTCAGCAGTTCCAGCCTTACGGTGGCCATGGCCTGAAACACTCCAAGCAGTTTTTTCTTTCTCTCCTCATGGCTTCTCCCCCTTTGTGAATTCCGTAGGTCTCTCCTCCTCTTCCCCTGAGCTCCAGCGGCCCCAGCTTGACTGTTGTTACATTTTTATAATTGTAAATTGGTTGATATTGGGGAGAGAGTGACACTGGTGACCATCTATTCTGCCATCTTGACTGGAACTCCTCCTGTATTCACTTATTTTAATGTTTCATTTGACTAGTAGTCCTGACCATGCCTTTAATAATTCCTAGGGTCTAGCACATAGTAGACATTAATTACATACTTGGTGGATAACTGAACAAATAGATTTTTATGCCCAGCATCAGCAGCGTTAAACAGGAACTATGTTCAACTTCTGTATCCATTTCCTCTTGCAGCTATTTGTAGTGGATGTCCAGACAAGCCAGATCACCAAAATCCCTATTCTGAAAGACCGGGAGCCTGGAGGTGTGACCCAGCAGGGCTGTGGTATCCATGCCATCGAGTTGAATCCCTCTAGAACACTGTTAGCCACTGGAGGAGACAACCCAAACAGTCTTGCCATCTATCGACTACCTACACTGGATCCTGTGTGTGTGGGAGATGTAAGTTTTCCCAGTAGTTGTAGTTAAAGATAGCCTTGTTTTTAAACAGGGCCCACTAGGTAATGTGGATCCTTTTTCCACCAGCCCACCTGGGGGAGTAGTTTCTTCTAGAGTTCTGCTAACTGTAGGGACATGGTGGGTGAGGTGTGGAGGTGTAGATAGCAGAATGGGGACTAGCCTGACCAGAAGATATATCAGATATGTTGGCAGAGTATATTTGACAAAGGGCCGAGCCACACATCTCAGAGGCGAACAACAGTGCATTTTGCTCTTTGAATCAATGTATCTCCCATTGCCCATAGTCAGAGAGCAAAGTTTATTAAATCATTTATTCAGCAACTATTTATTGAGTCTTCTATGGCCAGGCATCATTTTTTGTGCATTTGTTTTTGGGTTTTTTTGGCTGTTGGCCAGTACCAGACATTATTTTAGACAATGAGGACATAGCAATAAATGAAACAGATAGAGCCCCTGCCCTCTTGAAGCCTGCATTCTAGTGCATGGTGACATATATACCAATATATAAACTATATATACCAATAGATATTTACCAGTAATATGTCAGAGTGTGATAAGTGCCATGGAGAAAGGTAAAGTCAGGCTAAAGGGATGAGGGTGAGGTGGAGGATGCTATTTCAGAGGATAGTCAAAGAAAGCTTCATTGATAAGATGACATTTGAGTAGGGATACTTAAAGGAAACGAGGGTATAAGCCATGTAGATGTGTGGAGGAAGAAAGTTCCAGACAGAAGATAGGAGCCACAAATAAAACACCCAGAGGTAGAAGCCCACAGCTATGTGTCCACTGGACATGTTTATTACCCACAGTAGTGCCAGTTTGATGCCAGCTTTGAGCTCCTCAAGACAGAAGCTAAATATTGTGAGATTATGTCCTATGGGTTGAGATCACCAGAGACCAGAGTTGTAATTTTTACAAAGATATTTTGTCAGACTTGTATGGTTTTCAGGAAAGTTCATTATAATCCTTATTTCACTAATTTCTTTTTTGGTTTCCTCCCCGTACCTGTCATTCTCTTCTCTCCAAGGATGGACACAAGGACTGGATCTTTTCCATTGCATGGATCAGTGACACTATGGCAGTGTCTGGTAAATCACGCTTTTATAGGAAGCTTTTGGTGTGGCAGGGAGGGAGGGAGGGCTAGAGGTTGAAAAGGGTTAGTAGTATGACAGGAAATAGTCCAGTAAATAGTAAGACCATTAGCTAGGGGCCAGGAGTTCTTGTTTCCAACATTGGCTCTTTCTCTGACTTACCTTGTAACTTTTGGATAAGTCACTTCCCCATTTCCCCTGTATCTTAACTTCCTGATGTGTAAAATGGAGGTACTGGCATACTTCATTTATTATTCATATCAAGGCTTGCTTCAAAAAGCATGTGTGGTAGCATGTTAGCCACGTTTTTGTGGGGCTTCATTGAGATAATGGTAGCGAAAGTGTTTTGGAAAAGCTGATGTGCTCTCTAGAGTATTAAAACTAATTATCATCTTCTGTATATAGTTGTATAGTATTAAGTTTCTTTTTTTTTGGCAGCTGGCCAGTAGGTGGATCCAAACCCCGCATTAAGTTTCTTGTGATAAAAGCTATATAGAATTGGGGGAATTTCTTTTCCAGTGGTTTAGAACAGCCAGGAAAAAAATATATGAATAATCGAATGTAGAGAAATTAATCTAGAGATACACAATTGCTTCCTGGGTACCTACAGCAGCCTAGAAATTTGGCTCAGAGTGCTAACCAGCTTTGATGGCTACCTATAGATAAAAATACAATCCCCCTCATTCCAGATTCCCAAGACCAAGTAATCATAATTGTCACTAAACTAAGTACTTCACATATTTTAGCTCACATATTTTAGCTTAAATTCCGCTAACCAGCTTTGATGGCTACCTATAGATAAAAATACAATCCCCCTCATTCCAGATTCCCAAGACCAAGTAATCATAATTGTCACTAAACTAAGTACTCACATATTTTAGCTCACATATTTTAGCTTAAATTCCTCAGAACAGTACTAGAATGTTTACATTATTAGCTGTTGCTTTGCCTCCCACGGATTTGTCACCCCTTTTCCCCTGGGTGATGGAGCCACCAAAGATTACTCAAAGCCCATCTCTTCTGAGCAGTGAGAAGCCTCAAAAGGGGTTAATCTCCCAGAATCCTCAAGAACGAGACATTCCTTCCATTTGGGAAATTAACCACGAATTGGGGTTCTCTTCCTGCATTTATTCTCCAGATCAGGAAGTTACAGGAAGAGACATAGATGGGGTTTTTGCTATGTACAGTTTAACAAGTTTTAACAATAGAAGCTATTATCATGCAATTAATTTGATCCACTAACAAAAGCTTGATTTTAGCAAACATTCTCTTCTTACAGCAATTTCCCAGTATCTTTACATATCAATCAGTAACCTGCCTATCTTTGAGCCAGCAGTGTGGCTTTGTTACAACTCTTTATCTTACAACAGAGACTCAATAGCCTGGGGAAAATTTCCAGTCCTTTGGAAGGTCAATATTTGAAACTGCAAGGCTTTGGAAAACCAGGCCCTGTGAAGTACATTTGCTTTATGCATACTTCACAATTAGTCTCATTTCGAAGATGAGAACATTAAGATTCAGAGAGAGTATTACAACTCAGCCAGCAGTGTGGCTTTGTTACAACTCTTTATCTTACAACAGAGACTCAATAGCCTGGGGAAAATTTCCAGTCCTTTGGAAGGTCAATATTTGAAACTGCAAGGCTTTGGAAAACCAGGCCCTGTGAAGTACATTTGCTTTATGCATACTTCACAATTAGTCTCATTTCACAGATGAGAACATTAAGATTCAGAGAGAGTATTACAACTCACCAATGGCCACATAAATAGTGAGAGATGGAGCCCGGACTTGAATCCAGGTCTACTGATTTCAAAGCCCATGCTGAGAACTTCTACTTGTAAAGCTAAGGGAATATAAATATTTCTTTTTTGGATTTTTTTGTGTGTGTGTGCCTGTATCCAGACCACCCTTGACCTTGGTAATATCAACAGTATGCTCTAATCAGTTGAGCCAACCAGCCAGCCACTTCTTTGGATTTTTACCGAGACAATAGAAAGCAGCTGGGAAGGAAAATAAATCTAATAAAGGGCTGGCCAGTTCTCTCAGTTGGTTATAGCACAGCCTTGTAACCCCAAGATCAAGGGTTTAGATCCCCAAACCAGCCAGCTGCCAAAAAAAAAAAAGGAAGAAAATGAATCTAATAAAGAAACATAGTCAAAGGTTCAAATTACCCAAAAGAGTTTCAGAAGCTTCTGGATTCCCTGTCATTTGATCTCCCCAAGGAATGAGAGCTCCTTCAAGGCAGAGGCTGAGTCATGTGACTTCTATGAGGACCATCCCTATGATAGTAACCTGCACTAAACTTGGTTGTTGGGAGCCTTTCATCTCTTCTTTCAGATACCCTGCCAATGTTCTGTCTTCTCAGGCTGATAACTCCCACATCTCCATTTCCTAAACAGTATAGCAGGGTTTTAAAACATTGGCTCTGATATTAGAGACCTGAATTTGAATCCCGGCCTACTGTTTATTAACAGTGTGCACTTAGAGGGTCGTTTGGAAAATTAAATGAGATAATGCATAGTGGCTGCCATGCTGAAAATGTTCAATGCTTGTTAACCAGTGTTGATATTCAGACTTTATGAGCATCAACTTCTGAACATTCCACCTCAAAATCAGAGTTTTCAAACTCATCATCTCCCTTCCAAGGCTCACCACTCCCTTCTATTTGCCTATATTGGTGCAAGCTTCCATCTTCCACCCAGGTGAACAGCCAGAGAGCTAAGACTGGTTTTAGGCTTTTTAGTCTCCTTAGATTACCAAGCCATATTGATACTATTTTGTAAAATATGACTTAAATCCATCAGTTTCTTTTGTATCTGCTCTACTCAAGTGTTCTTCATCTACGAATATCTCTTCATTTACCACAGTATCTTTCCATATTTTTCTCTGCTTCCAGTCTTACCTCCTCCAATCCAATCTTTATGTGTCTACCAAATTAGTTCTCTAAATTTTTTTCCTTAGTGTAAAAGTAGTACATGTTTATAGTAAGAAATTTAAAAATACAAATAAACAAAAAGGAAATAAGAATCACCCACAATATCTCTGCCCAGAGATAACCACTGTTGGCATTTTGAAATAGATATGTGATAAGGCAAGTATAATAAAATGTTAATGATAGAATATAGGTATATAGATATTAATTGAAAAATTCAACATTTTAGTTTGCCTGAAATTTTCATAATAAAATTTTGTGGGGCAAAATGAGATCACACTGAACACAAAATAATATTCTAAAACACAATTATCTAATTATCTCACCCTGATGCTTAAATCTTTGAGTAACTTTCTAGTATTTGTAGAGTGAGGGCTGGTCAGTTAGCTCAGTCGGTTAGAGCATGGTGCTGATAACACTAAGGTCTGGGGTTTGATCCCTGTACCGGTCAGCTGCCAAAGAAAAATGAAATACTTACTTCATAGCAGAGCATACAAGGTCTCTGGTCGCCTCTCCAACTTTCTGTTTCATAGCTTCCATGCCTGCACCTCATAATCCAACATAATAAACCATGTATAGTTCTCCAGATGTGCCCTTCTTCTCTGGCCTTTTCTAGATTTTCACATGTGATGAACCCTCTGCTTTGAATCCCTGCCTGTAAGCCTTATGATGCAAACAAATTGGATGGAGCATAGAGGGGATTTGCAGTGTGGGAAGGGCACCTTCTGGTCTCAAAGGAGAGTTGGAAAATTACTGGAAAAGGAATTTTAAAACATTAGTTTTTTAGTGGTTCTTGATATTCTGTTTTATGACTATAATATAGCCCTATTTGGGGGCATATGGATTGTTCTAAGTAAGTGTTTTTGTATATGGATCTTGTGGCAGTGGATTGTTCTTGCATGGGAATGTAAATTTTCAGGGTTTTGCTGCAGATTGCTCACTTGTACTCCAGAAAAATATGACATTTTAGCTTGCCACCAACAATGTATTCAAGGGCTCAATTCAAGGAAAATTGTTCTTGGTTTTTAAAGTGCTATGTTATTGTGTGCTGAGGAATATGATTTACTTTTTTAAGCATTCATTTTATATAGAACGGTCATTCTTAATAAGGGGATTGTGATCTTTATGGGTTCATGGAAATCCTTAAGGAGACCCCTGGATCTCCCAGAAATTGAATATAAAATGTGTTTTTGTGTAATTTTCTAGAGAAAGGAGTCTGTTACATTTCTAAGTCTCTCAAAGGGGTCCAAGGCTCAAAAAAGGTTAATTGGCCTGGAAAATTACTGAGCTTCATCGAACTATATAAAATTCTCTTTTAAAAAATCCTACCAACTATGGTAAGCATAAAGGTTATTTTTTAGCTCCTAGACCTTAGTTGGATCATCCTCTTAGTGTAAGCTATTAAAATGCCCACTGCTCTGTCTTTGGGGTGGGTGGCCTGACCAAGCTTTCACATATATAGGGATGATGCACAAACACCAAGGTCAAGGGTTCAGATCCCCATACCAGCCAGCCACCAAGGGGAAAAAAAAATGAAATCCCACCCCATCTTGGCTTCTGTGGGACTGTCCCATGGAGGGGGTGAGTATATCTGACTTCTGTGGTCTCCCTGCCCCACAGGCTCACGTGATGGTTCTATGGGACTCTGGGAAGTGACAGATGATGTGTTGACCAAAAGTGATGCAAGGCACAATGTGTCACGAGTCCCTGTGTATACTCACATCACTCACAAGGCCTTAAAGGACATCCCCAAGGAAGACACAAACCCTGACAACTGCAAGGTCCGGGCGCTGGCCTTCAACAATAAGAACAAGGTATGAACTCACCAAGGGATTCCTGAAGCCTGTTCCTCTTGGTCTATGTCTTGGGAGGTGCACCTCCCTTCCTCCTTGTCAAGTCAGTGCTGCATAGCTTGGTTCTGAGCCCACAGAGCACCTTTTAAAGGCTGAGAGATGCTGGTGAGAAATTATAACTGAGGCTGTGAAACCCACCCCTTGGATTGATCTCTGTAATATTTCTCTGGGTGGTTCATATTTGTGGGTCAGCTTCACAGAGTTTCCCCAGGGCCACTCTGATTTGACTGTCTCTCATTTGCACATGCCTTTGAAGGTGCTCTATTTTAGGTGTGATTTTCATACTTACTTCTGAAAGCAATCACTTTTTTTTCCTTTGTTACTCAGGTTTTCATTCTTTACTGCCTCTTTTCCCTACATACTGCCACTAAGTCTTAACGTAATTATTGAGTCAGATCTTCTTACACTGAGGGCTTGTTTTTTTTGTTTTGTTTTGTTTTGTTTTTTCACACTGAGGTTTTCAGCAGAGTGTTGGGATATAGACCCAGAGCCAGAAGAGGAGAAGGTCTTCTGCAACATCTGAATCAGGCCACAATTTGATGTGTAGTTCCCTTAACCTCCTATCTCCCATCTATTTTTATGGTCTATAGGTATATTTTTCTCTGCTAGATTAGACCCTCCACTTATAGAAGGTCTCACACTGAGACTTATGAAACTGTCCTTCACATGTGTGCTCTGCCCTAACTGTCTGACAGGATGTCATGGGAATAATTGCATAGTAAGGACTTTTTGAACCATGGGTGTCTGTATTACTGTTAGAGCCTGGATTTGCTTCTCGGGTTCTCTCAAAAAGCAGTCTCAATTTAACATACTGTCCACCTGCATTCCATAAGGCGAGGTGATGGGCTATAATTACTGGCACTTTTGCTAGAACCATCATGGGATAGGAATAAAGCACGAAAGGAACCCAGTCTTCAAGGTCTTCCTCTGCTTTTTATTGTACGTTAGTCACTACAGATTGGAATATAACCTGTTTTTCATTGCTCTATTAGGAACTGGGAGCAGTATCTCTGGATGGCTACTTTCATCTGTGGAAGGCTGAAAATACACTGTCTAAGGTATGATGAACATGACTTAGTGGTTTTACCTAATAATTCACCTTATGTTTAAAATACTCTGATTCTCCCTGAGTCTTTTCATTCTTGTCTAAAACACCAGTCTCCAAAGGTCTGGGCATGTTATTGCACAGTGCATGAAATTCTGGGTCTGGTGTGCCTCTCTTGAAGAAAAGTCTTAAAGAAATCAGAGGGGGTGATTCTTTCACATTGCAGGGGCTTCCTGAGAGGGTCCTTTAACCAGCAGTCCACAATGCATTTAAATATTTGTTAAATAGTTAATAGATCATTAACTATTTGTCATGTTGTAACAGCAAGAAAATCTAAATGTTAGGAATCACTGGCAACTGCAAATCAATCAAATTAAGATAAATCATCTCTGAAATAACTATGCAGGGTAATGAGAAAATGAAAAAAAGTCTGGCCTGGGTCCTGCATGGGCTGATGAACCACGAGAGGGCAGCAGGACGGCAGGCTCCTGAGGACACTGCGTTCAGGGGCGACTCTGGCATACCGGGTTCTGAGAGATTTGATCAACAGTGTTGTTCTAAATTCAGCCACAAGGAGACGGTGCTGCTTTCCACAAAAAAAGTAGCAGGGAAAATTCATTTTGGGTTGACATGTCTAGCAATGACTGCTGGGGAAGGTGAAAGGAAAGGAAAAAGGGCAAATCTTTTGTAAGGTCGGGCAGAAAAAGATCAGGAGCCAGGGAGGACTTCAGCAGGTATGGCTTCCACTGGCCAATGTAAGCCACAGGAGGTCCAAAGGAAGGAAGATTATATGAAAATAAGATAAAATCTGGGAAGAGGAAGAAATGGAATTTTTATACATTTATTCCTTTGCATATTATTCTTACATTGTATTGTTTTGTTTTGTTCATTTTTTATATTTTTACATAATAAAGATTCATTCATTCAGCAAAAAAAGAAAAAAAGTCTGGCTAGTTAGCTCAGTTGGTTAGAATACAGTGTTGTAACACTAAGGTCAAGAGTTTGGATCTCCATACAGGCCATCTGCCAAAAAAAAAAAAAGAAAGAAAGAAAATGGATTTAATTTACGATATTTACGAGCAACTTTTGCAGAGTTAAACCTACATGTGGATCATTTGCCGTCTTCTCATCCCAGAGGCCTTTGCTGCTTGTTACTTCTGTGATAGGCTTCCTCTCAAGTGGAAGCAGGGCTCCAGGAATTATTGGTTCCTTTATGTCACAGCAGGCTTTGAGCTCCACTGACCCTGCATGGTGCCTTACATGCAGTAGGCACCCTCTGAGGATTTGCGAAGTGAGAAAGACTCAGGGCTAAAGCTGATTCAAGTTATCTGGAGTTAAGCCAGTCCTATGAGTATGCTTTCTGTAGTGTACAATTCCCATTCAATTCGAGTTAGGCTGGGAGTAGCCAGAAGTCAGCCCCTTTATCTGAAGAGCAGTGAGGAGGGTGGTGGCTTTATCTGGCAGACAGAAAGGGGTGGGATCTTGGCTTTAGTGCTATAAGGTTGTTCCTGCAGACAACCAGTAGGTCTTGGCCTTTCCCTCTACTTCTGATTATTTCATTTCAGATTTACCCTTTTCCCTAACCTATCCTCTTTAGTACCTAGATCTTATTGTTTATTACAGTCACCTCTCTTTCTCCTTTATACCTAGGATGTGGAGCAGGGTGTTATTTCCTTAATCAGGGCTTTGTCTCTGACTTTTTTTTATTTTTTATTTTTGTCTCTGACTTTATGTGACTTATGAGAGAAGCCCACAGAGGTGAGAGTTTAACAACAATGCCCCTGCCTTGTGCTTTCTGATGATGCCATGGGTGTATCTCTCCTTTCTCTCTCTGTTTTCAGCTCCTGTCCACCAAACTGCCATATTGCCGTGAGAATGTGTGTCTGGCCTATGGTAGTGAATGGTCAGTGTATGCGGTGGGCTCCCAAGCTCATGTCTCCTTCTTGGATCCACGGCAGCCATCATACAATGTCAAGTCTGTCTGCTCCAGGGAGCGAGGCAGTGGTAAGTGTCCCGGTATGCCCCTCAGGCCTACAGCTGCATTGCAAATGGGTTTTGCCCTTTAGTTTCTATGTTGGCTTCCAAATAGGTATAATGATCTATATGGAACACATGGAAATGTTTGGTGACACAAGAGGGAGGCTTAAATACCTGCATAGTGCAGCAGAGTTTCAAACTCCACAGACAGATGTGTGGTCACAAATGCCTTTGGTGGAAACCAGTCAGGATATCAGTGGTTTTCATGTTCTTTCAGAGTGTCCTGCTTTGTATTCTGTGGTAATTTTTTGCTGGGGCCCTGCCTGAACTAAAATTCAGTTTATGCTAAAAGATGGCATGGTAGGGAAGGTGTTTACAAAGCATCATGAGGAAACTTGGGGGTGACTGTGGTGATGGTGCCATGAATATATACATATGTTAAAATCTTGAAATTGTATACTTTAAATATGTGCAGTGTATTGTATGACAGCTATACCTTAGTAAAGCTGAAGAAAATATTGAATTTAGGGCTGACCAGTTAGCTCAGTTGGTTAATGTGTGGAGCTGAAAACACCACGGTTTAGGGTTTGATCCCTGTACCGGCCAGCTGCCAAAAAAGAAAGAAAGAAAATATTGAATTTAGTTCTGACCACTGGGTAAATTAGGCTTCAGCCTCCAATCTTTTATAACATATTCTAAGAGCACCCTCGTTCTTTATTGGAGGAAAAAGAAGAGACTTATGTTACTAATGTAGTTTAAGGTTTCAGAATACCTTTTTCTTTTTTTTTTCCTTTTTGTCTTTTTTCATGACTGGTAACGGGATTGCAACCCTCGGTGTTGCACCCGTACCGGGACCGGTAACGGGATCGCAACCCTCGGTGTCGCGCCCGCACCTCACTCAACCAGTGAGCGGACCGGTCTCTATATGGGATCCGAACCCTCAGCGGGAGCGCCGCCGCCATGCTCCCAAGCGCCACACTCTACCGAGTGCGCCACTGCGCCGGCCCCAGAATACCTTTTTCTGACATCTGAGTTTATCCTACTAAGAACCCTGTGGAAAGCAGGTGGGAAAAGATAGTGTTAACCCGTTTTACAATGAGACAGACCCAGAGTGTTTAAATAACTTGCGTAGCATTGCACAGCTTGTGGGGGAACATCCAGTGATCAGAATCCAGATCATCCAGTTTAACAAAGTGTATTTTCTTCTTTGTCTTACTTTGTCCCCTTTCTAATGCAAAAATGTAGCTATGTCATCCTAAGAGTCTTAAAAGGCACAGTATGGATTACAATTTAGCCTCTTCCTTTCAAGTAGTGTTTATTCCCATGCAGATATTGCAAAAGTGGCTTTTGTTTTGTGTGTTTGTTTTTAATTATAGTTAAGATGCTCATGTTTTAGAACAGAGAAAAAAGGTGTATAATGAGAGTAGTAGAGAAAGGAATAAATGGCCTTGGCTGGAATGATGTATGCAATGAAGTTTTAAGAAATTTTGGTTACTGTTAATGGGGATAGCTTTCATACCTAATAAGGAAATACTGGTTCCAAAGATATTATCAAGGTCGTCTTATGTGCCAAGAGACATCTTCATATCCCATGCACTTATTTGATCCACAGTTGCAGCAGGTGTATTTTTCCTATTACCTGGAGTGATTAGGTGACTTATGTGAAATTCACACTGTGAATGAGAGATAGTACTCCTTTGGATGCTTAATTTCTGGGCTTTTTGCTGCCCTCATAACATACTTAATACCAGATAAAGACTTCTTACAGTGCCATGGCAGTGGTTTTAGGTCAAAAACAAAGAAGGTACTTATTGATGTAATGATTTGTAAATATGCAGATTACCCTGAATTGCAGTATAGGTTGGAAACATAATGGAGAAGAGTGTGGAGTTATGAAAGATGATTCCGGAGTGAGTCAAGGGGAGACAAGAAAGTTCCCAGCACACTTATGGTCTTTAGCCAAAAGCTTCTTGGGAATCATCAGAAATCTGGCATTTCTCCAAGTCTTACTGAAGGATTCCTGTTAGTGTATGGATGGTCAGTGTGGCATCAGGCTTCTCTTTGCTTTTGCGTGAGGTGTGTTTGCCATTGGGAAGGTACTTTCTGATATGTGGGAGTGCAATGCAAACTCAGTGTTGGAGAAAGTCAGGCCAGCAGACTGTCGAGTGGTTACTCTCCCTTCTCATTGCCCTTTACTTTTCTCTCTTTCAGGGATCCGCTCAGTGAGCTTCTATGAGCACATCATCACTGTGGGCACAGGGCAGGGCTCCCTGCTGTTCTATGATATCCGAGCTCAGAGATTTCTGGAAGAGAAGCTCTCAGCTTGTTATGGGTCCAAGCCCAGACTAGCGGGGGAGAATCTGAAACTAACCACTGGCAAAGGCTGGCTGGTGAGTAAAGCCCCATCTTAGATAGTTGCTGGACAATGACAGAACAATTGTCTTCCCTCTACCCACCCACTCTCACCCTGGCTGACACATCACCTACCCACATTTTTTCACTAGTAAGAGGCACTCCTTGGAGCAGAGAAAGGCACTGTCCCCTGATAATGCTTTTGTGTCTACATATTGCCTGTGGGAAAACTGAGGGCCAATAAAACACAGTGGTTGACTTAAGATTTGCCACAAGTGGTGATAGAGCAGAAAGGATAAGGAACCTCTCACCATGGCTGCCAGAGTTTGGTTCCACCTGTTCTGAGAAGACCTGAGCTTTGTATAGCAATTATTTAGCCTGCTCAGTTCCTTTCTAGTGTTTAGTTGAAAAAATGAGGCCGCACTTCCCAGTCTCCTGACATCAGGTTATAGGTACAGGATCCTCATCTTTTAAGGAGACCAGAAAACATTCTTGTCCCTTCTTCCCCCTTTTCCTGCCATGGCCTACAGGTGCTAACATAGTCTCTTTCTCTTCCCATAGAATCATGATGAAACCTGGAGAAATTACTTTTCGGACATTGATTTCTTCCCCAATGCTGTTTATACCCACTGCTATGACTCGTCTGGAACGAAACTTTTTGTGGCAGGCGGTCCCCTCCCTTCAGGGCTCCATGGAAACTATGCTGGGCTGTGGAGTTAATGACAACACATTCTCTCCCAAAATGCAGAGATTTACACTAACTTTCATCCTCAATTTCCTTGTTTCTTCTTTTGATTTTTTTTTTCCAATTGTGTGAGGCTCTCATATTTTAGCGGGAACACCAGAGTTTGCCTATGCCTTAGGCACTTTATAGGAAGAAGCTCTGTACAGGAATCTGAAGGGTTTCTTTCTCTTTTTTCCCTTTTGGTAATCAGAATTTTACTATCCTTTTTTCTTTCTGGCTTCTCAACCAAACATTGTTGCTAATCCCTATTTGTATTTTTTCTTTAAGTGACACACACTCTCCCCACTCTGGCTTCTTTAGACATAGTCATTCTCACCCTTACTTCACTCTTAAGAGGTAGGGCTCCTTTATAATTATGTGGTTGCTATCAGACTTTCTGTGAAAGTTTGAGAGCCGTGTGTGTGTGCGTGTGTGAACTTGTGTGCCTGTAGGTACTATGTGTCACGGAAATTACCTGGAGTGAGGATTACTTGTAATTAAAATATTTATAAAAGAAACAACTTTATTCACAGAATCCCACTTTGGGACTAGGCTGTATCTTGTTTTAAAATCTAACAACACTGACTATAGGAAGTAAAAACAGAAAGGAAAACAAATCACCAGTGGGAAAACCCTTTGAGTTAAATAACAGGCTTCCTGGCGCCTCCCATGCCAGGACTCCAAAGTGATCCAGCCCTACCTGTTTTCTCACCTGTGTGTCCCCCAAGTGAGAACACTTCTGTGTATGTGTCACTTCCATTTCCCAACCTCCCATCTGCTTAGCCAGTGGCCACTCCCCTAAAATATCAGGGTCTCTGGAGGCTACAGAAGGCTTTATAGGACTTGGTAAAGAGAATCCCCATTCCAACTCCCCTCTACTTACCCCTGAAACAAAGGCTGATCTGGTATTTCAGGGGCTTGGAGCTGGAGGTATCAAGTCTGCTAAGATTCACATACATAGTCTGCTTGGCTTTGAGGAGAAACGTCTCCTTTACCATTCTTCCAGTCTCCCCAATGGATTTTGCTGTTGTTTTTTAAATTGGGTTTAGTTCAGGAGGGTGGGGGTAAGCAAGAGGTTTATCTGTGTATAGTGAGTGCTTCATGTGTGGAATATTCATTTTCTCAATGCAGTGGAACTTGGGGTTGAAGCTACCCTTCGTACTCTGTTTTCAGCCCTGAGATGGGGATAGGGTGACCTGCAGCCAACATCATTGTGCATGTGACAACATCAATGTGATTAGTAATTTGTTCCTCCCTTGAACTGTCTTTGTAGTCTGAGGTTTTTATACTTACAGGCAACTGACTGTGATGTCCAGTTGTTCTCTGCTTTTTATGCATCATGTCGAAGATAACAGCTGTTCCCACCCGTAATTTCCTCCTTTAAACACATAATCTGCTCTGTCAACATCCCATCCTAGGGAAAGGAAAAGTATTTATTCCTGCACCCCAGTTTCTTAATTGTTCTCTCAGTTATCTCCTTCTTCTCTGGTTGTATGTGGGGAGATTGGAAAAAAAGAGTATCCTCCTCTTAATGATGGAGGGCTGCTGGGGAAGGAAGACTGCAAGTCCACCCTAACTTCGTGGTACCTGACATACACCACAGGTTCTGGAATTCTTATCTTCTAACCTAGAGAAATAGGTGCTATACACAGGGAATGAAGCAAAATTGCTGGATGCTATAGATCTTTTAATTGTCTTAATTTTTTTTCTATTATTAAACTACAGGCTGTAGATTTCTTAGTTCTCACAGAACTTCTATCATTTTAAACTGACTGGTATATTTTAAAAAATTTTAAAAAAGGATGTTTTGTATTGTTGCCAGACCCTCTTCTGTGATGGGTAATGCGTTTGATTGTTTGAGATTTTTCTGTTTTTAAAAATGTAGCACTTGACTTTTTGCCAAGGAAAAAAATAAATATCGTTTCAGTGCAAAGTGGTTTGAGTGAGTATGTATAGTCAAGAGACTGCAGGAAAAAACCCCAAAATGACTGGTTTGAAGGTAGGCTTGAGGTGTTGGGATTGTGTGGAGCAGTAGGGGAACAAGAATTTCCTCAGGTTAGAGGCAGGTCAAGTAAAGAAACGGAAATACTAAGACATGTTTGCTCCTGATCCCTAACTGGCCCAAGATCAGTTGCTCTGGGGTCCAGTTAAGGATGGATATGCCCAGGACAAGTTTTGTGGTGCCTGGGGGGGAAAAAAAAAACTGGCCAAGGATGAGGAGAGAGTGTGCTCAGACTGTATGAATTTGAGCAAGGTGACCAGCTCCAATTTCTTAAATCGGGGTTGGTGATAGGCCCCATCTGCTTCAGTAGATGATGCCCTGAGAATGAGAGTGAAAGCAGCTGCACAGTGCCCGGGGAATGGGACATCATTTGTGCTTGGAACCATAGATCTTTGCTACCCTTTGTAAGCAGTTGACGTAGTGATTGCAGTGAGTGATGTTCTTCCCAGAGCCTGTTTTGGGCTTTAGCTGAGAAAGGCAGACTGCTGAATCATACCACCTTCCCACACAGCCAACTCTGGAAGACCCACCAGGACTGGGCCACTGAGCCTGGCAAGGCAGTGCTTCTTCCTCTGCCACATGGCACTTGTTCCTTTCCAGGGCAGGGCAAGCTGGATACAGTTGCTCTTTGCACCTGCCCTAAAGATTGACTGGTTCAGAACATGATTCACATGGAGACCTTTATGATCACAGGCTGCAAGACGAGAACTGGGAAGTGAATGAGTTGAAGAAATTTGAGAGGGTTTTTTAAAGAGTTGCATTTGGAAAGGGACTGGAACTAATCTTTCCCAAAATGGGTTCAGAATACCAGATTCTAAACAGTAGTGGTGTTTGCAAAATGTCCCACGATCAAATTGTTTTTGGGAAACAGATTAAAGACAACTTCATTTTTTTTTTCATTTTTTTACTCTTAGGTCTTTGGTATGTTACTATGGTTCTCATGTTTCATGGGATATGCTCAGAGAAAAGTGACATAGGTGATGGGTAGAACTGGATGGACTGGGCCTCTGGCCTTCATGGAATCTTGGCTGTGCTCCCATTTTTCCAGCCAGTCTTTCCAGCAAACGTGTATCACAGAAGGGCTTTGTGGACATTACGGAGTCCCTTTCCTGCCAGCAATCCCTACTCCCAGGCCATGAAAGAACCTCCTTGTTCTCTCTCAGGCCACAGGCCACATGTCTCATTCCAAATGTCTACTGGCTCCTCCCATCATCCTTTGGGTCCTTTTCTAGAAGGGTTGGGAACTGAACTGTATTCCTAGCCCATCAAGTCTCCCTTATGCTCCAGGTCCCAGGTCTCCTGCCACTCTGTTCCTAATAAAGCTAAAGACTACTCCCAGTACAGGCTTCTCTGATCCAGCTGCCACCCAGACAATCCTAGTGTAGGTACTCAGTAATAGCAAGTCAAGATGTCAAGACCCTTGGCTTAGCACTGAGAGTCACTCTTATAGGAGTCAGCCTATAATTGAAGTGTTTCTTTCCTCCTTTTCAGTTGGCTGGTGTCTAGAAGACTACAATGGGGGCTGACAAGTTAGCTCAGTTGGTTAGAGTGCAGTGTTATAACACCAAGGTCAAGGGTTCAGATCCCCATACAGCCAGCCACCAAAAAAAAGACAACAGTGGGGGCAGGGGTGGAGATGAGGAGGGATCACTGTTATTTGCTTCATGCTAGTTCATTCACATTTCATTTCATGCTAGTGTGTTGAAATGACTAGAAGCTTAGGGAGGAAACATGGGCTTCTAACTCTGGAACCACTGATGTAGACAATAGAAAGGTCACATTTCTTAGCTTGGTTCTCCTGCCCTTAGCTCCTCCAAAGAATAATCCAGAGAAACAAATGTGAGAAATAGGAACACTACCTCTAGAGAGAAAGGTGTGAACCGAACTCAAGATGTGGTTGTGAGCTCTTTTAAGTCTCCAAGACAGGTGTGAGCTGTCCTCAAATTCCCCCTGGAGTGGTCCTCAGATCTGAACACTCCCCTTGTTTAGTGTATAATTGCTGAAGTCAGAATTTTTAAAGGATAATAATATTCATTAACAGCTCAGAGTCACATGTTTACTCTGCTTCTTGTTAAATTGTATTGAGAGCAGTAATTAACATCCCTAGTGCTTTGGACAGGAAGAAAACAAATGATCAGCTCCTGCCTTAAAGAAAATAATCTTCCCTCATTCATGGTTATTTGTTTTTCTTAGCTGGTGGCAACCTGGACAGAGGACTGGAAATAATGATGAAGTTTCTTTTGTTCTCCAGGGTCAAATTCATTTGCCAATAGCAAAGAAGACCACTAAGACCTTGGCATGAGGTGTGGAGGTTTGGGCCCTGCAATGTGTTGCTTACCTGAGAAACATCCCTCATCTTTACTACCACCACCAGCCCCCCAGCCCCTCAAGGACCTTATGCTAAAAATACAAAATTATTGCCTCAATCACGATGCTAAATTTTGATCATTAGATTTTTTTTTTTTTTTTTTTTTGTGACTGGTAAGGGGATTGCAACCCTTGGCTTGGTGTCGCCTGCACCGCACTCAGCCAGTGAGCGCACCGGCCATCCCTATATAGGATCCGAACCTGCAGCAGGAGCGCCACTGCACTCCCAGCGCCGCACTCTCCCGAGTGAGCCACGGGGTCGGCCCTAGATGTTTTTTTTTTTTCCCCAGGTGTGGGGAGGGCGGTGGGGGAGGAGTTTAAAGATACTGAAGCTATTCCCTGAAAGGGGATACACCCCAAGTGCCAACTGTTCAGGATAATTAATGGACAGAAAGTAGAAGATAATGGGTTTGATTCTAGTTCTGCTGCGGCTTATGGCCAGATGACTTTGAATAAGTCTTTTACCTTCTCTGGGCATCAGTTTTTTCATTTTATACAATGAGGAGTTCAGATTAGACATTACACGGTTTCCTGGATCCTTAACATTGACAGCAAGTATTTTACTGATGCAGAGAAGTCTAAGAAGAATAGGAAATGATCCCTGTTCTCAAGCAGTTAAATGTCATAATAGGGTTTGTTAAATTTTTATGTCTTATTTTCCTAATGGCTTCCAATCAAATACTGGGAATTGTAGTGGGTTGAATGGTGTCCCCCCCAAATTCATGTCCACCTGGAACCTCAGAATGTGACCTTTTTTTTGGAAATAGGGTCTTTGCAGATATAATTAAGGAAAGGATTCAGACGAGATTGTACTGAATTAGGGTGGGCCCTAAATCCAAGTGAGAGTGTTCTTATCAGAGACAGAAAAGTGCCCACAGAAGACACACAGAGAAGAGAATGTGAAGACAGAAGCAGATATTGGAGTGCATGTAGCATCTATAGGCCATGTAACACCAGGAGCCACCGGAAATGGAGCAGCAAAAAAAGACGTTCTCCTAGAGCCTTGGAAAGGAGTGTGGCCCTACTGGCATCTTCTTTTGGGGGGGAATCTGAACCCTTAACCTTGTTGTGTATAACACTGTGCTCTAACCCACTAAACTAACCAGTCAGTCCCCTCTGGCATCTTGCTTTCAGACCTCTGGCCTCCAA